GTCAGTCCCTTTCAGCCTGAAAGGGAGTTCAGAGTGTACAAATCATGTAAATGTTCACAAATTATATGCAATCATCGTTTGTAAAGTGAAAGGTATAGAGTCTATGTGAAATAATCATTGGTCGATTATGAAACCAGCCTATTTCATAATTTGGTTTTCTTTTAATATTAATTTTAGATTTTCTATAAAATAATATTCCAGGGCCCAAAAGGTTATATAGCATAAATATGTGAAATACACCTGCAGTATGGAAACAGTACAACAAAATGGCCGTTTTACACTTTTTTCTAGTAAATTCCCCTCTAATATATATTCTATTCTCTATGGGTAACCCCCCTCCACCCCCCAGAGGTAACCGCCAAAAAAGTTCTCTAAAAAAAGTTAACGGAAGTAAAGGCCCAAATTTTGGCACTAAAAAAGTCCTTGAAATAAAAGACAGGATAGTTTTCTCAAGTTTAGAAGAAATGTTCTGTTCATTGTTCAACAATAAAATGGTTATTAAATATTTTTGCAGTAAAAGTAACATTCCTAAAAGGATTTATTTTTATTTTTAAAACTTTTCTCGGTGGAATTTTTTCATTAGATTTTTAGAAAAAAAAAGTAGTTTCACTTGTACAATGTACATTTTTGTAATTTTTATTTATCTTGAGAGTAAATGAAACTTGTTATTTGGGTTTAATTGAATAAAGAAAGTATGCCAAAATAAAAAAAAATAAGTTTTTCAAGTTTTCAAATCTCCAAACAAAACTTTAAAAAGTTGTAAATACTTATTATCACAATTTAAACGTAGTCCTTTATTTTATTTCCAAAAATATGAATTTGTGTTTTTAGATTAGGAAATAATATACTTTTAATTTTAAGGTTCTATCAAAGAAGAGTTTAAATCTTTTTTTAGAATAAAACAAGACATTTGTATATATGTATACTCTATTGCCGGCCAGACGGCTGAACCGAATGGGCTGAATTTTTTTTGAAAATCGACCAAAAAATGGATATAAAGAGGAACTTTAAACCAAGAGACTATAAACCAACGAGGTTATAGTGTATTGAGGATGATGTACGCTAATCCTTTTCTAGGTGTAACTGCCATGAACTATACCGAGAGCGTACTGCATGTACATTTGTTTATTATAAGGAGATTCTGGCCTAATCTACAGTACAGTGTACAGTACAGCTAACTGAGCAAACAGGTCGGAAACTATCATCCCCCTGCTCATGCTATAAACAAAGTGCGTATGCTAGCACTGAAAATAATATTAAAGTCGTCGCAATAACGAATTTCTTTTCGATGTAAAACAGACAGCTGGTTACCCACAAAGGATGAGAATGTGAAGACGACTTGAAATTTTTCAAATATGACGATCCTAAGTTTACATTAATATCTTGCGTCTTAAAGATAATCTTAAAATGGCTTAATATATGTGTTTTAAGCTTGCAGAGAATCGTAAATATAAGGAAACAGACAGTGCAAATTTAATACAGTCGTCTTTGAAGTCTCATCCTTTGTGGTCAACCCTGTACGTGTAATATTGAAGAAATATCTTTTGAAAAAGATCACAACTTCCTCTTTTTTTGTATTTAAAATCCACCGAACAACGAAATCCTGTCATTGTATTTTCTAAGAGTACTAGGATGTGAGCGAGTACATCTTTACGGTAATGTTTAGGAAGACAGTTTATTTTAAAGTTCTTCAATTTTTTTAAATAAATAAGTAAGCAAACAAAGGAAAATTATTTTAAGTAGGTTTAATGTACTACACTCATTTTTAATGTGAAAATCTTATCTTTTAATAATAATATATCAATTCGAAAAATGTTCGTTTTTTTACTCCTTGAATATATTTGTGTACAAGAATACAGTTTAGGAAAGTATTTAGTGGAACAAAATACCCATGTCCGGAGAAGCGCTGCACCTCGTTTGCTCATTTTCGAAATAAAAACCCGTTAACATGATGATTTTGTTTTTCAAGGATAAGATAAAGTTAGTAAGGATAAAATCCAAGTAAAAAGTTTATATAAAGATGATGTATCTTGTGGAATGCTTTTAGAGTTATTAAACACAGAAAATTAGCAAAAAATGAAGCAATTCTCTGAAACCATGACTTATGGGTAAATTGAGAAACAGGAAAACATTTTTTATCATTTCTTTTGTTTTAGTAATGTCGCTTTAAATTTTGTAATTGGCAACTGTTAGAACTGATAAATCTCTAAACATGTCTTTACGCTTTTAGAAGTTGTTTTGTTAGCCCTGCCATCATAATCCATCCCTCTTTCTCATTTTTTGGTCCTCATATGATGATGAGAAAACAAGATTGAATATCTTGATATCATACCTGGTTTCAATCATAATAAACCCTATTCTTGAAATACACTATAAAAGAAACCCCCTCCCCTTCTTCCTCTCCTCCTTCCTCCCCATCCCCCCTTTAAACAAATTACCTTGTCAATCAACAGCGAAGGGGAGGGATAAAACAAATTTAGTTTCCATTTTTATAATATGTTGAGCAAAGTTTAAAAAATGAATATATTAGAAAACTTTGCTCACTTAACTTTAAACAATATTAAGCTGTAGTATTAAATCTTTCCTTGCATCTCTCCAAACCCCTTTTCCCTCTTTCCTTCTCAAGGGCGTATACAGGGGGGAGGCAAGGGGTAGTTCCCCCTAGACCTGTAAAGGGGGATCCTAACCCCCCCTAGAACACAGAACTATCACTAATATTAATGAACGGAGAGCTTTATTATCTCACAGAATTTCAGTTTAAGTTGAGTTTTTCATTTACAAAAATGTGTTTTACTATCTCTAGATTAAATACTAAAATAACTGTATTATAAAATGTCGACTTTTTAGAAACATGTTTTTTTCCGCTAGTTTTGTTTAAGGAGAGATAAAGTAATATTTGCAACGTAATTTAACTGTGCTTTTAAAATATCTTAACTTATGCCTAATATCCAAGAAGTCAAATGTTTTGAATTTACAGTTCAAATTTCCCTCCCCCCTGGATTTATTTCTGCATTCGCCCTTGTAATCCCTCTCCCCGCACCCCTCCCTCCCTTCTCCCCTTAGTATCTATAAAAAAGAATGGTAGTTGGAAGAAGTGTTGAATTAAAGGAAATCTACTGAGTTTAATCACAATAAACCGCTTTCAAGGGACTATTCGCAAAATTCAAAGGAATTGAGTAGTTGTCTCAAACTTAAATTTTCTAATTCCTATATCTTTGCAACCTGATGGTGTAAACCTTAAATGTTTCAAGCTTAAACTATTTGTTATAACAGAATTCATAGTTTGAAATATCTAATGTCCACGGCATTGGGTTGCAAGGAAAATCAGAGCTTGTGGCAAGGACTCATGATTCCTTTGGATTTTTTTTATTTTTCATGAAATAACTGTATATTTAAGTTCTCAAATGTTACTTTTGGGAGGAAAAAGTATATAAAATTAGAAAAATGTTTTGGATAAAAGAAAACAATAAATATTCATAGTTTTTTTGGAGTTCATGTTTTCACCAAACCTGCAGAGGGAACATCAAACAAAGTATTTAACCCCGATTTCTACTTGTTAGATAATGACAAATTTCAGTATTTTTTCCTATTTTTCCCCTTTTCTTTCAATTTTTTTTACTTTAACGATAGTTTTTGAACAACCTCCAAAGGAATTAAGTATTTGGCACTAACTCAGATTTTCTAATAATTTTATCTTTGCGCAACCCAATGTCATAGACCTAAGATATTTCCAACTATGAATTATGTTAGATCAAATAGTCTAGTTTGAAATATCAAGGGTTTCCACCATCAGATTTCCAAGAAATAGGGATTAGAAATTTGAATTTGTGGCAAAAACTCAACTCCTTTAAAAGGATACATTTTTAAGGCAAAATTGTCTTTAATTCAACCTTAGAATTAATATTTTGTAAACCATCAGATTTTTTTTATTTTCTTATTTCTATCCCGTTGAGTTTATGTTATGCATTTGATTATATTATTAATGAGTAACGTTCATATGAGAATTTATTAAAAAAGTTTTATTCAATAGAATTCTAAAAAGAGGAGGGGAAGGCAAGACTGTCGTAATCAATCTTTAGGAAAAGTTGAAACGGCCTTTACAACAACTTTCAAGCATTTTCAAGCAAAGTGAACATTTCTTATAATTTATACAGTGTGTCCCAAAAAGTGGGAAATAAACAATGACTTTTAGACAGGCTCTGCTAAAAGTAGAATGAATGTATTCAAATCGTAGTGATCAAAATGGAAATCTAATCGAGTTTCTAGATTTTTAAATTATGATATATGCAATATTTGTTTCCTTAAAGTTGACAAATAGAACTCTTAAAATAAAATTGTCCTTTTATTTTCTCTTCGTTAGAGTATCTATTTAAGTTGTCCACCAGATGTCTCTGCTCTCTATAGTTGTCCACCAGATGTCTCTGCTCTCTAGCTGTCCACCAGATGTCTCTGCTCTCTAGTTGTCCATCAGATGTCTCTGATCTTGATGCTTTGAATGATTACATGATGTGGCAGAGGCATCTAGCGGATAATATTATGAAATATTAAAATTATACGAATGCGTCGAAAAATAATCGATGACCTGTGAATCTGACAAGGGTCTCTTTAAATTAAGGTGTACAGTCCCTTTCATTATGTGTTTCATAGTTGTGATGTGAAATTAGAAATGTGACCCCATTAAAAGAACAATGAATAAAACGAGCAAAGACGTAAACTTATATATTTAAAAATATATAAAAGTTTTGTTCTATCTGTGAATATATAAAACAATATATATCTTACACAAAATTTAATATAATTGTTATTTACAATACATATAGCAATAGGTGGAGGGGGTAGTTCAATTTTAATATGTCAACATATTTAATAATTCTAAAAAATAATTCAGAAAACGAATTATTAAAAATGAAGTAAAAAAATAGTTTCTCTAATTGTGCACATTTTTAAAATTGAAGAAAGGATGGTTTTAAGAATGGTCAATAAGATGATAAGATCATGTCTCAAATTATATAAATTGATATTATACCAGCTGCATGTAATCTGCAATTGCAAGACAGGCGTTGCAAGTAAGAAAAAATTCAAAGATTTTCATGCCGCGTTTAGATTTTTACAACTTTGACAAATGCTACAACATTTTTTTAATTTTTACTAAAGTTTAAGATCCGAAAAATCGCCAAATCAGAAAATTTTTTTATGAGTCATAAGCAATCGATAATTTTCAATTTTTTTGTTGTTAAATATATAAGAAACCCTGAAACAATATGCAAAAGATAATACATATATCAAGTAACTATCTCTACACTATAAGGTTATGTAAATAATGTGTTATGCATACATATTATGCATAAAAAAAAACATCATTTTCAAATATTGGTTAAATCTAATCCCAGTATCAGTGTTAAATAAATATCTACAGTGGTCCCCAGAAAATAGTAGATTTAGAAGACAAAATAGTAGATTTAGAAGACAAATGAAAGCCAAAACAACGAATTTACAGCTAAAATAAGATTAACATTAAAATAATAAAGAAAACTGGGTGTTGACGCAGTTTTCAAATCTAAAATCGAGGATTGGTCTAAATATCGTTTTTCTGTTCATATTTTATGTGTGATATCTGTAATGTCATCATAATCTAATCAGTTATAAATGTTGTTAAATAAGTATTATAAACTAACTATTCTGGTTTCTTCAAGTTTCCGTTAAATGTTTCAAGTTTTCCAAAAACTCCAGGAATCTTCACAATCTCCATTATACTCCTGAAACAAAAACAAATATTGATAAAACTATTCATAAAGCACGAAAAACTAACATTTATTTTCAATTTTGAAAAGTAGTTATGGAATATTTAAAAATGCAAAGAAAGCAAAATAATCTTTAAGTGTTGTGACTTAAGGAAAAACTAACTTGGCAGACGTATGATTTATTTTTTCTGGAAACATTATTAATCCAGTTTACTGTATCTAAACAAATTTCGTTTCTTTGCTACAGTATAATTATCATTATAAATTAACTTCCAGATTTTGCTGTTTAAAAAGCTTTCTGTGCAACTCTAAAATGTGTTAGTCGTGAAAGGACTCGTAAGAAATAGATACGATAAATATTCTTGTTTACATATAAAACTAAAATGGTATAACATAAGAAAAAAAATAAACTCTAAAAGAAAATGAACAAATTAATGGTATTTGTGAAAGGGTTTCTTAACGTATAAGCTCAAGTTACATCTACATTTAAAAATTATCCAGTTGACGACTGTATGCTTAAAAACTGTTTAAAATTTTTTGAACTGAAAATTGAGTGCTTACGTATAGTCCGCAGAAATGCTTGTCATTGTTGATTACATTATGCAAATGTTTTGGCCCTTTAAATACAGGGTTACTTAAAATTACGTGACAGACCCTTTAAGATTTAGAAATGAGATCAGGAAATGCATGTAATGAGAAAGGGTATGGTTTAGATGAATTAAAAAAAACAGAAGTTGGAGAACTCTACGTTTTAAAGGAAAATCTCTAAGGAATAAGGTTTTAAGACATGCCTTGAATTCCTTGAAGGTACTAAATCTATTTCAAACACAAAAATAAGGTAAATAAAAGTAAGAATAAATATCAAGCAAATATCCTTCTACTCTAAATTCTAAAGTATGTAACATTGTAATGAATAAGTCCTTGGGTTTAGAATAAATCATAAATGATTTTTTTCATTTAAATGTGTCTGTAAAGAGAATTCGATACAACACCTCCCCACGGACACCCTCCCCCCCCCCCCCC